AATTATTATCATTATTCATTTCTTTAGAAATTGATTGTTTTCACAGTCAATGAACATGAAAATATTTGCATAGCGGGACCAAATAGTCGGACTGGTTATGCTACTGGTGAGAGTAACATCACAAACATCATATATTCACCTGAGTACATGACACCAACACACACAAAATAATCGTATCATTGAATACCCCTGTACACTGATATCGAAGGAACTAGACTCAGTTCCAAAATATCATCAACTCGAACAGACTTGACCATGTAGCTCAGTTGGCAGAGCATTGGACTAGTATCCCAAAGGCCACAGGTTCGATTCCCACCGTGCCCAAACTAACTTTTCAGCTTGGCCGGTGTGGATGCACACTCAGAGTAACATCACAAACATCAATCAATAATTTGCTGCTGTTATATATCAACCTTATATATTTTTTTCTTACTAGGGATTGTCATTAATATATGGATTTAACAAAAGCTTCCCAGGAGAAGGCAAGTTGTCTAAACAAGTGGTATTATATGTAATCATTAATGGCATTCTAAGAACTTCATGGTCTATTTGGAAAATGTTATTCTTTTGCTGGAGAGCATTTTTGTGAATTACCAAACCATGCAAGGGATGAGTTGCCGACTTGTGGTATACAGCTTGTTTTGTACTAAATTTTTACTAATGGACTTGCTTGACATGTTTGATTGAGAAGTGACACTACATACATTTAATACATGCAGTATATTTTACTTGTAAATATTCTACATTGAACAGAATATTAACCCTTTAAGTGGCAATTTGGCTACCACTTAATGGGTTAAAGCTTTTCTGTAAATGTAAATTCTTTGAACGATAACTATGTAATAGCCGGTACTGTGCTGGGAATGGAACCTGCTGCCCTACAGGTGATTCTGATCAGCTTTTTAACCGTCAAGGGTCCTGAAGCCCTAAGAGTCCATCGCCCTGAGAGTCAATCGCCCTGAGAGTCAATCAAGCTCTACTGTAACCAAGAGTTCATGTATATAATACTAGTGTCATCCTGGGCAGTTTATTTAATACACTACCAATGACACCACCATGGTATATATACAGCAACTTGTGGTTACCTCTTGGAAAAAGGGCTCTTTAGGTCAGAGAGCTGCGGTAGAATTGCAGGGCTGCAGGTTCAATTCATGCTGACAGGCTTGTAATTGTATTCCACGTGTATTCATGATATCATTCTAATCATGTATTCATGATATCATTCTAATCAATTTAGAACTTCATTAAAATATTATAGGGCGTAAGAGTATATCATTATATTATGCTACAGCAAATTGTATTTCCTGCTATAATATACCTTACTTGTAGGGATAATAAATTATTTTGACTCGAAAAATGTCTTTATTGATTTCTAAAGTTAGTTAAAGACTTTTCTTTACTCTGATATATAGAAGTCATTTTGTCTCCAAAGGAGTCGAATTGACTCCAAAAGTGGAGTAAATAAAAAAGGTACAGAACGACTCCTTTTTGAGTAAATTTTACTCCTTTATTTACTCCATTTTTGGTGTAAATTTTACTCCTTAAGTAGAGTTGTTTTTACTCTTTGAGGAGTAAAAACAACTCTACTTATGGAGTAAAATTTACTCACGTGACCAGCGTCCACCAGGGTCTTTGCTTCCCAAGAGCAAATACCCTGGGAACGAGGTTGTGTCTGATCACTGCAGCTACCTACAGCATATATATGCACGGTTTAACTAATAAGTATACGTCATAGGGCAGCAACAACTGTGTCGACCACCGAAGGTGCGAGCCTCTAGAGGGGTCTGGGGGCATGCCCCCCCAGAAAATTTTGGGTTTTTTGAAGTACAGATAAGCTATTTCCAGCATATTGAGGAGTTTTCCAACAAGAAATTAACCTGATCTTCTGGGACTGGTCAAATCGATCCCTGCAACCATGCTGTTTTGCAACATTTTTTTTCCCACCAAATACTGGGGCAGGATATTTTTTTCCCCAGTTTGTTAGTGCAGGTATTTTTTTTTGTCCAGAATAGCCTTGCAGGAAATTTTTTTTCAAAATCACCCCCCCCCCCCTCAAAAGTTAAATGGTCGGCCCCTTATATGCACCCTTATAGAATATTTAGAATAACCCAAACATTTAATTAACCATATATACCCAAATATGATAGTGACACTTTAACTGATACATTTCGAAATAGCTGGCATTTCTAATTTTGAATACATTCAATACATTCAATAGAATCACTCGTGTGCAGCCATCTGTATTCCGCATACACAATGTATTGCGGCGAATTTCGTCGTCGTGGCATCAAACCTTAATAGGAGAGGCGATCGCTTATTAAAAGCGGACTTCAACGAAGTGTTTCAACTACAAATACACCAAGTTTGCCACACAATGTGTACAGAATCCTCTGAAGGTAAGTTTATATAGTAACAGTAATTGTGAGTTGTATTTTCAGTACGTAATTTGAACACAGACATTGCGACTGTCTTCGTGATTGAAAAATTTTGAATTACTAAAATTGAAGTGGAGACTTTATACTTTCTCAGCATCCTCGTCGTAATGTGACAATTTATATATTTACTCTCGATTTAAAGATTATAAGTGGGTTAATTACAGGAAATTCGCTTATTTTTAAAGTTTCCTACAGCAATATGTTATACTTTGTTTACTTCTATAGTTTATATATGCACAAAGATTACAGTCCTTGTCTTCAAGGCCCTCTCTACGTAATGGAGGACTACAGAGAAAGATTTCACAGTAACTAAAATTAAGATATCCTCCTGTGCCGGCATATCTCTACTCTTGGTATTTGTTATAGTTTATATGTACAAAGACTAGTCCTTTCTTCAAGGCCTTCTCTGCGTAATGCAGGACTACAGAGAAAGATTTCACAGTAACTAAAATAAAGATATCTTCCTGTGCAGGCATATATCTACTCTTGATATTTGTTATAGTTTATATGTACAAAGACTAGTCCTTGTCTTCAAGGCCCTCTCTGTGTAATGCAGGACTACAGAGAAAGATTTCACAGTAACTAAAATAAAGATAGCCTCCTGTGCAGGCATATCTCTACCTACCTACCTACCTTAATATCGATTTACTAAAGTTGGCACCCTGCCGCTATATTGAATTTAAGCGCGTCGGAGTCAACGGTCGGAGTCTGGGACTACATTTTTCACGAGGTTTCAACAATTCTCGTACCCAGAGATCAATGAATTATTAAACTCTTTTGCAGTAACATAAAACTGAATTAACGAGTTTTAGGTATAGTTACATCACAATATACAAAAAAAAAACTCTATGAGTTACAATCAAAGAACATTTCAAATTAAATACTAGTAACAAAATCATTTATTATCATATCATCACTTTCCATAATAAAATAAGTAAAATTGTAAAAATACTTAATGATAAAAAATTCTTCAGTTCTTTCAATTCCACAAAACTTATGGTTTCTCTCTATATAATTACGTTTGGTCCCTATACATATATTTACCTCAATGCATGCATGTTCACAAAATTTCCCTGACTGTGTTGGCAGCAGAATATTCAATGGATCATTTCTACATTTCATTTTCTTCATGTATTTTTCACATAACATAATTATTTACTAGCTAAGGTATCAACATGAACATGCAAGCTTGATGGCTTCTGGTATGTTTCAGGAAATGGGAAAATTATTAGTCGCTGGGCAGAGCTCGCAGCGACTCTAGGTTTCGGCACGCATTTGTGTCGGATCTTGGATCGTTAGCCACAAAATGACAATTACGTCATTAATAAAAAATAAAAATTACGTCATTACTATTCGTCGCTGAATTCAAGATGGCCGCTTACTGCGAGCGAATGGTATCGTCGATTTTGTACATATTTTTTTTATTTTTCCGATGAACCTTAAAAGTTTTCCGATGAAACAGACTTTATAAAGCGAAAGTCATTTTATGTGAGTAAACTTGGAAGGCTACAAGCTTGAAATAGAGGACAAAAGTTCACAATTTTCAATTTTACAAAGTTGGAACGGGCCGCAACCTTTGTAAATCGCAACAATAATATTCGCAAACTGCTGTTTATTTGGGTGCTTTTTTACGGCTGTTGATGCAAATAATCCTGTCAAAAGAACATGGTGTAGCCTAACAAGACCGAAATACACCACAGTGTCACATTCATCACTACTTGTGTGAAATTTAAACTTTGCCGCTAGGTGTCAGGCTTTTAAATCTGTAATATTTCAGTCATTTTATGATCAATGTATTGTGTTTCTAACGCCGAACGGGAAAATGTTGGAGCTGCTGGAATTGACTGATACGTAATTAACAATCGCCATTTTATTGGTTGTTATTTTTGTGCATCCCAATCACTGTCCACTTTTATTGACTTCAGTAACAGGCTTACCCTGGGCAAAGTCCTCTCGTATTTCTTCTCAGCACGAGAGAGACTCTGCAGAACTTGTGTATATTCTTTGTGGAGCCGACAATCCAAAAACTTGGATAATTATGAGTAATTTCAGGTTTGATACCAGTTTTATAACCGGTTTTGATCCGAACCGGAAACTACTTATTAAATCTTCTTCTGGGAAATAGGCAGTTGCTTAGCAACCTTCGTGCTAGCCTGCGAACAGGCTCTCAAGCTGAATTGAGAGCCTGCATCGATCACTAATGAATTTGAATATCTACGTCTCAAATCGTGACGCGAAATTCTCATTGGTCAGATGCTATAATTTATATTATTCCGCTGAGCTCTATATATGTCAACTGCTGAACTATGCATAAAAAAACACATTAACTGATCAAAATTGGTCTTGGCCATCTTATCTCAAAGCACGAAATGTTTTGTTTTTAGAAAACAGTATTTAAAACATTTAAACTTTTGCTTGAATATCTTATATTTCGAAAAACAGTATAAACTGTACGGTCTAAATTTAGTTTGCACGGTCTAAATTTAGTTTGCACGAAAGTTGTAAACAACACCATATAAGGATAGACATTCCATATTTGGAAAAACGAACGTTACGGGGCAGATATTCTAATTCATTAGTGATCGATGCAGGCTCTCAATTCAGCTTGAGAGCCTGTTCGCAGGCTACCTTCGCGCATGCTCAAATGAATTTATACACAAGTTCTGCAGAGTCTCTCTCGCTTCTCTGTGCCGTGCCGAGAAGAAATACGAGAGGACTTTGCTCACAGGGTATAACAGGCTCTATTCAAGCATCGAGCCTGACACGCAAGCTACCTTAAAAGGGCCTATTTGGCAACTTCTGTTGTGGTTACCCAGCCTGAGGCAAAAGTAATAAATTATGAATTGTTATAAATGTTCTGTGAAGTGCACATATTTTTCCTGCAGTTAGGGACCAGTCCTTATTTATGGAGAGGGAGGGGGGAAATAATTTACTAGAAGGGGGGGCATTAATTTTTTTGAGAAAATCAGTTGAAGGGTCAAAATATGGAGTTGCAATAAATTTGTTTAAGCCTGGTTTCCAGTGTCCTCGAAGTTGGCCTAAGCCAAATAAATCCAATAAATGATATCAACCTCGTACCCAGGGCTTCTGCGCTTATACACTGCTCTCAGAAGAGAGAGCAATAAGCGCAGAAGCCCTGCGCAGAAGACCTTATTTTAATACCCCAGCGACTAAACGCTCAACAGAGCTGAGTTCAACCCCGGGGTTGAACTCAGCCCTGGGTTGAAAATTTGTCATGTAATCGCGCGTTCGATTTTGATAGAGTTTTGTATTACAGACAGGGCTGAAATTTCAACACGGTAAACAGGGCTGAATTCAACCCCGGGGTTGAGAATGCTCCATGTAATCGGCCCCTAACTGTAACGGTTATTAGCGTCGGAAGACAGTGAATGAAACAATAGTCAATACCATTGTTGTTGTTTGTTTTTGATATATTCCACAAATATCGATATCCAAAAAAGGGAAATATCCGGCCAGTATTTTATCGAACTAAAACAGTTGGTATTGCCCATCACTAACAGTCTCTCGCTCTTTACAAAACAGTTATTTGTTGCCGCTCATTGCCGCTTAGCATTCGTCAAAGAGTAGGATAATTTTCCCTGCCTTATTTTCCTGTAATAGACGCCAATATTACCAAACTGTATTATAGAAGATTGGGTAATGGCAATTCCCCGTATTTTCGCATTTTTTTATCGAGTCCTGACTCGAGTCCTGGCTCGAGTCCCGGCTCAAATCCTGACTCGAGCAACAGTATATCTCACTGAAACTACAGCCGTGCTTGCGCACTAAAAGCAGTGGCGGCGCCAAGGGTGGCGGGCACTCAAAAAAAATTATTAGTCACTAAGAGCAACTAAAGGCTACACAAGCGTTTTGTTGTTATCGGAAAATGTATGACTTATATAAGTTGTCATTACTCATTAGTGAATGCGCGTAGACATGAAACTGTTTTTTACAGTTTCAATATTAGTTTGTAAATCTCTGAATGGTAAAACTAATTGCCAATACTCGGGGGGGGGGGAAAATCCTAGGATATTCACCCCCTTTTTGAGAGGGGGGCGAATCTCCTGTGGGGGTGTCCTTTTTAAAAATTCTATCTTGTTCCCCCCAAATATTTTTTTTCTTTGCGCAAAGCATTCTGAAATCGCTTTAGTATTTGGCTTGTAAGGGGGTCAGAAATTCTGAACCCCGTGTCTCGAGATTTATCATTTTTGCATGATTTTGCGGAATTCTATGTTGCAGGGTACAGATTTTCTGACACCTTTTTACAACATTGGGGCCTAAAGCCTTCAGAAATCACTTTAGTATTTTCGCTTCTAAGGGGGTCAGAAATTCTGAACCCTGTGTCTCGAGATTTATCCTCGTTTTTTGAATGATTTTGCTGAATTCTATGTTGCAGGGTTCAGATTTTCTGACACCTTTTTACAACATTGGGGCC